CTGGAAAACACCAGGGATTCAACTACAAAACTCTTAGAAGTGTTCAAGGAATACAGCAGTGTCTCAGGTTACAATGTCAATACTCACAAATCTGTAGCCTTTATATATACCAACAATAGTCAAACTGAAAAAGACAATCAAGGACTCTATTCCCTTTACAATAGTGCCAAAGTAGATGAAATACCTAACAAAGGACATGAAAGATCTTTATAAAAAGAACTATGAAACTCTGAGAAAATAAATAGCTGAAGATGTTAACAAATAGAAAAACATATAATGTTCATGGCTGGGAAGAATCAACTTTATTAAAACATCCATACTACCCAAAGCAATCTAAAGATTTAATGCAATTTCTATTAAAGCACCTCTGTCATACTTTAAAGATTCAGAAAAATTAGTACTTCATGTTATATGGAAATAGAAACAACCTTAAATAGTCAAGACATTACTCAGAAATAAAAGCAAATCATAGGGAATAATGCTACCAGACTATACCATAAACCTATAGTGATCAAAAGAGCATGGTAAAAATAGACAAAATAGAGAGGTAGATTATGGAACAGATTGAAAACCAAGAGATGAACCCAGACACTTACCATTTGATCTTTGATAAGCCTACCAAAAATATAAATTTGGGGAAAGATTCCCTATTTAACAAATGGTGCTGGGTGGATTGGCTGGGGCTAGTAGAAGACCCAAACTGGACCCACACTTTTATCCTCTAACAAAAAATTGATGCTCATTGGATCAAAAACTTAAACTTAAGGCATGAAACTATAAAAATTATTGGAGAGAGTGCAGGGGAAACACTTGAAAAAATGAGGAGGACCCTCCTGGGCAATAGAAGCAGTACCAAAATACATTACTGGGATCTGATCAAACTAAAAATCTTCTGCACTGCCAAGAGCACAGTAAGTAAAGCAAGTAGACAGCCCTCAGCATGGGAGAGGATATTTGCAGGTTATTTTTCTGACAAAGGTCTAATAGCCAGAATCCACAGAGAACTCAAACTTATTAATAAGAAAAGAACAAGTGATCCCATTTCATCTGGGCAAGAGACATGAATGGAAGCTTCTCCAAAGAAGACAGGCACACAGTCTACAGACACATGAATAAATGCTAATCATCTTTAATCATCAGAAAATTGCAAACCAAAGTGACTCTGAGATATCATCTAACTCCAGTAAGAATAGCCCACATATCAAAATCTCTAAACTACAGATGTTGGCGTGGATGTGGAGAGAAGGGAACACTTCTGCACTGCTGGTAGGAATGCAAGCTAGTACGTTCCTTTTGGAAAGAAGTTTGGAGAACACTCAGGGATCTAAATGTACAGCTGCTATTTGATCCTGCAATTCCTCTACTAGGTGTATCCAAACAACCAAAAATCACTTGGTAACAAAGATACTTGCACCAGATTGTTCTTGCAGCCAAATTCATAATTGCCATGTCATGGAAGAAGCCTAAGTGCCCATCGACCCATGAATAGATTAATAAATTGTGGTATATGTATACCATGGAATACTATGCAGCATTAGAAAAAGATGGAGACTTTTCCTCTTTTATGTTTACATGGATGGAGCTGGAAAATATTCTTCTTAGTAAAGTATCTCAGGAATGGAAAAAAAAATCCAATGTACTCAGTACTATTATGAAACCAATTTATAATCACTAGCACTTTCATATGAAAGATGAAGCCCAGGATGAAGGGAAGAAAGGGAGAGGGATGGGAGAAGGGAGTGATTTGATAGAGGAAGGGTAAATGGTGGTACCACACCTACGGAGCATATTGCAAGGGTACAAGTCAAATATATCAAGTATAGAACACAAATGTCTTAACACAGTGATTAAGTAAATGAGGTAAAAGCTATTTTAATTAGTTGGATGTAAGCACTCCAATTTGTACAAAAAATCAACACATTGAATTCCACAAAGGCATAAATGTATTTATGATCTATGTATACATGACTTAATAAATGGAAAAAAATAAAAATAATAGAAAGGAAAACACAAATAAAATGAAGGATGTTGAAGGTGGATGACCATGCTCTCCTGGCTTGGAAGGTGTCAGTTGAAAAGTCAGCTGTCAAACTAATGATTCTGCATGTGTAGGTCAATTGGTTTTTTATTCCTAGCTCCTTAGTGGATTGTCTCCTTCATCTTTACTTTGGACAGGTTCATTACAATGTGTCTTGGAGAAGTTCTGTTAGAGTTGATATGACCCAGGTTTCGATATCCATCTGAAAGGAATGTGTCAGGATCTTTAGCAAAACTTGGGAAGTTTTCCTTTATGAGAGTCTCCAGTATGGCATCCATACCTTTGGGACAAGGTTCTTGTCCTTCAGGAATTCCTACTATCTGTATGTTTGAACGCTTAACAGCATCTTGTAGTTCTCTAAGCACCTGCTCTGCTTTCTCTCCCTTCTTTTCTGACTCTGTTACTACCTGTGTTAACTCAAAGTCTTTTATCCTCTAGCTCTGATATTATTTTCTCCATGGTCTAATCTATTTTTGATACTTTCTACTGCTTCTTTACATTTCCTGATTGGCTCCTTCATTTCTTTAAGCTCTTCCATATATTTTCTATATTCTACATATCTCCTGTCTGACTTTTGATTTTGTCTTTCCATTTTCTCTTCCAATCTCTTTATCTTCTTCATCACTCATATTATAAATTTACTTTCTGTCAAATCCACTAATTCTTTATAGGAGGAGACTTCTTTAAGAATTGCCTCATGGTCCCTCATAGGAGTTGCTCTAATTTGGTTATTCATGGTGCCTGAATTTTTCTTTTGGTTCCTCCTCATGTGTGCTTTCTTCTTGTTTACTTCCTTGTGCACCTTTTCCCTTCTCACTTCCTACTTTGCTTTAAGTTACTTTGTCTCAGAGTTTCAGTGAGGAAGAGGTCTCTTGATATCAAAGGTTACTGCAAGCAAAGAGAAGCAAAAGGAAAGGAGAAATGAAGAAGAGAAAAAAATAAAAATGAAAATGAAAATAAAAATAAAAAAATAAAAAATGAAAAGGGGGGAGGAGTAGGAAGAAAGCAAAAGAAAGAGAAGAGAACGGCAAAACAGGTGGGGGAAGAACAAAAGAAAGTGAAGAACAGGCACGATGGAGGACAGGAAGGAAGGTTGAGAGTGATACAGAGATGTTATTGTTCTTCAAGGTGCTAAGGCCATGTCCATACCTCAAGGGTTGTGAGGAGTTGAGCTGGGTGGGTTCCTCAAAATTAGGCACTCCTTACTTGTCTGTCCACAGCCAGACTCTTCCTCGGTCAAAAATAGGAAGAGAAGGAAAAGAGCAAACACAAAACCCGGGAAGAATAAATTGAATAAGGACAAAAAAAAAAAAAAAAGGAAGAAAAGCATGATCTTCCTACTACTTTGTTCCTGAGGCTAAAAGTAGGAAGTTTTTCTGGTCTCTTTGAGCCAGGCTACTGCTGTGGTCTACCTGCCAGACCAATGCTGTGTCACATCCTCCCTCAGCAAAGAAAGGGTGGGAAAAGAAAGAAAAGAAGAGGAAAAAGAAATATATATGTAATCATAGATAAAGGATAATTAAACATACCGCTAAATCAAATGAAGGAGAGGAAGGGAGGAGGGATAAAGAAAGAAAGAAGAAAGGCAACAAACCAAAAAAAAAAAAAAAAAAAAAAAGAAAGAAAGAAAGAAAGAAAGAAAGAAAAACTAGAAAGAGCATGAAGGGAGTATCTTAGCTGATGCTGAAGGATTTTGTATGGGACAGATGAGATGAATAGAAGAGTCTATTCTCTCATGAGAATAGATGAGAGGAAAATTCCTCCCTCCCACAGATTCCTCAGAGGAGATCATGCTTTTCTTCCTTTTTTTTTTGTCCTTATTCAATTTATTCTTCCTGGTTTTTGTGTTTGCTCTTTTCCTTCTCTTCCTATTTTTGACAGAGGAAGAGTCTGGCTGTGGACAGACAAGTAAGGAGTGCCTAATTTTGAGGATCAACTGAGAGAATGCAGTGGAGCGTACTAGAATAAGTGATACCCATCTCTCTGGGGGCAGAGATCAAGGGAGTAGCTTGAGCCCTGAGATATGGGCTGAAGAGCTTATATCCCTTATCACAGAGGAGGATCCTCTGTGTGGTGATGAGAGGAAAATTCCTCCCTCCCATAGATTCCTCAGAGGAGATTAATGCCAGTGGTGTTTTACTCCACAGAGAACTAGCGGAGTTTAACATCTCCCTAGAAATCTGTGTGTGTAACATCAAGCAGGAGACTCTCCCAATACAAGGCTCAGATTTCAGATTTATCAAGGCTACCCTTAAGGTTAATAATAATAGGAGCTGATATCCTCAATCAGAGACACTGCTTGGTGTCTTTGTTCCCTTCCCTCATCTTACCCTCTGGGCAAATAGACTTCAATAAAAGCAGAGTGAAAGAAACAAACTCTCGGTGCCTTTACCAGAATCCCATAAATGAGCAATGGACCTCTGAGCCCCCACTTTTAATTCTACTCTACGTCTCATGTCTCTTTCTTTACCATAGTTTCTTGTTCTATATTTCTTCAGTTGGTTGCCATCAGTTTCCCTAAGTCTTAGCAGATACTTCCCCTGGTTGGGACCCCAACAGAAATGCACATTATTATGAAATCCAATCATTCAAAATTGTAAAGGAAAACTATTTAAAAATGAAACATTCCCATCTAATTGCATTTAATTGGAGCTCAGATGGTACTGAATACAAGCACAGTTTTGCATGACTTCTTGCACTGACAGGTTCTCCAAAAACGACACCAGTTCTCAAGGAGACCTTTTTCTCCATGTTTCTTTTTATCGATGTTTTTTTTCTCATTCCAGTTTTGCACCAGCTTTCTTTCACTATAGTGAAAATATGACCATTAACATCTGTCCTACTCACAGAATTACTTTCTCTCTTCAAGGAAAGATCAGTGAAGAAAGAAACACACTGGCTATAGGAAACATAATCAGAGTGGACCTTGCATTCTCAGTCACATTGCAGGCTGACACTCACCTCAGTAGTGGCTCTATCTGTCCATCAGTCCAGTGATGACTCTGACATTGAGCTCTGGATGCATAGGTGGGGGCATGTGCAGCTGCAAGGACTCACTCCTGGAAGAGGAAGTATTCAGTTAATACTTTGACTCCTGATTACTTGATCAAGGTGCTTAAGAAGAGACATTAAGTATACAACAGAAAATCCTTTCTCAAAGATTACCTCTGAATCACAGTCACTTCCACAAACCCCTTACAAGATTCTACCACTCATGAGGAATCTCTCTTACCGTTCTTACTTTTCTCCTTGCCTAACTGCTATTACCTCCTGATTCTCAGAGACACTTGTTTTTAACAACTAGATAAGAAAATCTAATCCACATACCTCAAGATATGTCTGATTTTGAATCTCAAGGACATAGGACCTGCTTTCCAGCCACTTCTGAGTTGAGCTCTTTACCACATACTTCTGAGCCATGGGGCAGAGATCAAGACTAACTTGTGATAAACGTGTATAGGACATCATATTCAGAACAGCACATAAATATGTGAACACATAATTTCATATATATAATCAAATGTATAATGGCTTCACTTGCTAGAAACAGGTTGATCTCTTTCTTAACTCTCATGGTCCCCAGTTCACATTGAAACTCAAACTTACCTCATCAGTAGGTCTCCCATATCCTGTAACGAGAAAAGAAGAAAAACTTAGATTTCTTCTGACATTGGGCATTGTACCAGTCCAGGCCTAGGATTTGGGAAAGTTAAGAAAATTGCCCATCACAAACATTCCCTAAACCTTCTTATAAACTAATTGTCCTTTTCCTCTCTAAAGGATAAGCCCAGTACAACCTAACACACTCTAATCTCTTGATGAACTCATAACTGTGTGGGTAAAATGAAGAGAGAGAAACACATGGTAGGAACCACAGTCACTAGCCTTGCTGAAATCAGCAAATGTTATCAAATGTCTGACAATTGTTCTTCCAAGGGGTTATCCCCAAGGCCAGTGAATTATGGCAATTCAAATCTAAGACATTCACAGAGAATGAGGATGTCAATGTGACCTTGTCTGAAATATTTCCATATTGTGCATTGGAGGTAAAACTGGAATGACCAAGTTGCTTCTTTCTGGTTATTAGACATGAGGGAGATAAGAATTCTTGAAGAAAAAATTGTCTGGTGAAACTACTCACAATTAAATACAGCTTTGTGGTGAGTGGCTAGGAGTTAGTTTATATCTAATATACTCAGTTGGTAAATGTCCCCCCCTCCTTTTGATGCAGGAAATGAGGACATATGTTTTGGGTACCAAATCAACAATAGAGGTTAAACATTTAGCCATCAGCTAATAAAAAGTCCTGACCTGGAGCAACTCCTCCTCTGGTTTATGGCACATGTCCATCAGTTCCTTACACATCTCCTTCAGTTGTTTCCTCTTTTCATGCATTTTGGCCACTCTTCTCCTGAGTTTTTGTAAAATGTCCTGGCCTTCCTTTCTCAGTTTCTCCAAATGTTCTTCTTCTTCATAGAGAACAGGATGAACCTCACGATATTTAGTCCTGATCCTTTTTCTCACTAGATGCACATAGTCCTGTAAGGAGATGGGTTCCCCATATCACATTTCTAGGCCAAGATGTATCCTCCTGCACACACACCTCACCTGTTTCTTTTTGGCTTTTGCCCTCTACCCATTAGCTGTACACAGCTTAAATCCATTTTGTCAGGATTCACAATTCATCTTTTTCCTTCCTTCCTTCCTTTCTTGTTAATCATGACCAGTTTATTAACCCCACAGCCTATATAAATAATTTTTTAAATGCATTATGTGCTCCTTGGTCACAAGCACTCAGGAAGCATTACTTCTATCTAATATGGTAACCTTAGTTATGCTTTCTTTAAAAAGGGAGGCTATTTGATGCACATTGATTTTTATGCTTATGTGACCTTTTTGATATGAGTCATCTTTACTGTCCTCTGATATGAGTAGCTATCAGGTAAAGATAAGGGAGTTATCTTTATTTTTCTCTGCTATCTATAAAGGTGTTTTTATTTCTGCTATATTATAGCAATTACAATTCAAGATTTCTATGTCCTCTAGCATATCAAATAATCTTGAAAACATTTATTTCATTTTACTATAAAGATATGTCAGTAGTATTTACAACTGTCCAGGTTTTTGCTACTTGAGAAACAATTGGTAAAATAATATATTTTCAAAATTTAGAATTTTTTTCTTTAATGCAGAAGATAAGTTCCCTGATTGCATAATGTATGCCTAGATGTACCATTGTTTTATGATTCAAATCATCACCCTCCAGAAAGTATTTCTTGAGATTTTCTTAATGAAGATTACATTTGCTATTAAATTTTCATGGAAAAATTGATACTAATCATATTCACATCATACTAAATAACCTATTATAGCCTTGAGGCAGATCACATTTTTCATGTAAACATTAAGAATAAAAGTATAGCATCCTGGGGCAGTGCCTGTGGCTCAGTGAGTAGGATGCTGGCCCCCATATACTGTGGGTGGTAGGTTCAAACCCAGCCTCAGCCAAACTGCAACAAAACATAGTCAGACTCTGTGGCGGGCACCTGTAGTCCCAGCTACTCGGGAGGCTGAGGCAAGAGAATTGCCTAAGCCCAAGAGCTGGAGGTTGCTGTAAGCTGTGACACCACGGCACTCTACTGTGGGCAATAAAGTGAGACTCTGTCTCAAAAAAAAAAATAGTATAGCATCCACTAATATGAGAATCAAATTACATCAATATTTGCTTTTGAATAATTTTAAGTGTTTTCAATACAAAGCATGCATGAATATATTAATAATCATATCTTTTAACATCTAGGTAATTATTTAATGTAAAAAACTGGGAAAAAGATATCAAAATTTTATAGGAAGTGCAATGTTTTTCCAATTACTTATTCCCTGGTATTTGATTAAGCAGTGATGATTGGCTAAACATCTCATTATACTGATCCCAGCTGTAGATTTTGGCACGTAAAGGTAATATTGGTTGGAGGAAGATTGATAAAATTTTAGTGAAAGATTCATAAGATTGATAGCATTCAAATATATGCTATTTGATTTTAATTCTCTAGTATTCAGAACATTTAGCGAGGCCAGTGTTTTGGCTTACACCTGTAATCCCAGCAATCTGTGTGGCTGAGACAGGTGGATTGCCTGAGCTCTCAAGTTTGAGACTTGCCTGAAGCAGAGCCAGACCTCATCTCTACAAATAGGCAAGTGTTGTGGTGGGTGCCTGTAGCCTCAGCTACTTGGGAGACTGAGACAAAAGGGTAGCTTGAGCCCAAGAGTTGGAGGTTGCTGTGAGCTGTCATGCCATAGCACTCTACTGAGGGAAGCAAAGCAAGACTCCATCTCTACAAAAATAAAAAAAAGAAGAAAGAAAGAAAAAGAACATTTAATCCAATCATACACTCAAAAGTCCTGGGTTTCTCTTGGGCTTTCAAAAGATTGATTATTACTTCCCCTAATAGTTAATGCCACAGAGACCAGGTTTCTATAGTGCTATAACATCACATCCCTATTCCACTCAGTATGGTCTAGATATTCCCATTCCTCTGGAGTAAATAGTTCCCCAGCCAGATTTAGGGCCATAGTCTTGAACTTACAGACATCTGAGTCCTAAGAGACACTATCTTCAGGCACCAGAGGGGCTGCCTTAGGCACACATTTCCTGGCTTCTATATTGTCCCAGCACCCTCCATATAGATTTTTAGTACTTGTGGGTCATAGGGCTACAGAAAATGTAGCACACACAGATGGACTTCCATTGTTGTTCCTCTCATCATATATATGAGTGTTAGCTAACACTCTTTCTACATATAATGAGAGGAAAAACTATGGGAAGTGCCTCCTTCAAAGCACTGCCATGTCCTTCAACAGTTGCTGAGACACTGGAGAGTCACCTGCCCCAGTTGCTATCTTCAATACATATCCTCTCAAATCTGAAATGCTGCATTCAAACAGTTGAAACTTAAGATTTCTTATTAAAACCTTATATGAGCTATTGTGATCTGTTTAACTCATTAGTCTCCCTACTCTGCAACCTGATCATTTAAATGAGAAGAAATATTGTATATTATATGTAGGATTAAAAGCCATCAGAGAAGAACACATCTAAAATTTCCTGAACCAGGCTCGGCGCCTGTGGCTCAAGCGGCTAAGGCGCCAGCCACATACACCTAAGGTGGCGGGTTCAAATCCCCAGCCCAGGCCCGCCAAACAACAATGATGGCTGCAACCAAAAAAAATGGCCAGGCGTTGTGGCAGGCACCTGTGGTCCCAGCTACTTGGGAGGCTGAGGCAGGAGACTCGCTTGAGCCCAGGAGTTGGAGGTTGCTGTGAGCGTGATGCCATGGCACTCTACCCAGGGGGATAGCTTGAGGCTCCGTCTCAAAAAAAAAAAAAAAAAAATTTCTGAACCTAAGCCCTTAAAAGGATTTCTATTATTTAGTACTCCTATAATAAGACCATGAACATCATATGGGCCAGCCATTTTAAAAACATTAATTCTAATTTAATTGTATCTCCTCCCAAAAATCATGTGTTCATTTTCGAATCCACTGAGTCTTTTTGCTTTTTTTTCTGTCCTTCTTTTTCAGCTTCTCAACATGTTCTATCTTCTCTTACCAGTATCATTGCATAGCTACTGTGAAAACCATTTTAACCATGGCAGGCACACATTTAAAATTGCCTTTCATACTTTTCCATCCCCAATGAAAAGCCTACAATACCCAATTATGTTCTCTGTACATCTAGAATTCATCTTGTACATAAATATTTCCCTGAAACACCCATGAAAGTTTTAACACCTATTTTTCTCTCTTTAAATCAATATTGAGAAATTTGGCAAAGCCCAGTGGTTACTGAATTTCCTCAAAACTCTGTGTGTGCCTTCAGCATACTTCTTGTTCAACTTTTTTGCATCACTTAATTTTTGTGGTTGCTGATACCTTTGGATCTAAAAATACTAAAAATACTAAGAACGATGTGGCCCTCCATTGAAAAACCCAATAGCAGGGTGTCCCAAAGTTCATAATAAGCAAAATTTATAAATTCATATTATATGTTTAATTTTTAAATTTTTATTATTTATATTTCTATATTTATGTATCAATTCCTACATAAATGTTTTATAAAATTTTGTAACATATTAGGTAAATAAAGCTATATTTAGCTAAAATTTCCCATCTTCCCTATGTATGTATGTAGGCAGAACTTTAAGGTAGCCAGTGTTTTTCCCATTAACCTATCCATCCACTGAATGTCAGAATTCATGATTTCAGCTCACATTTTTAATGGCTAATGTTGTAGCATGTCTGCCCCAAGCTGAATCTGATGGAAACATTTCCCGTACTTACTGTCCATTGGTTAATCACTATTCGTTGCTCAATGAGGTTTCTCTTATTTTCTTGGATCTTGTCCCATAAAGATCTCATTTGTTTTTCTAGCTTATCCTGCAAAAGAGATATAAATGTGAGCAGCAGAAAAACAAGTAATATAGAATTCTGACCCTGACTGATGGAGAGAGTCAAGGGATGTTGAATAAAAAGTATGTTAGGGAGAGAGGCAGGATTATCTTGTACTTTTACTCTGCATAATTTTCTGTTTTAGAAGATTTCAGACAGTACCCCACGTGTAATGTAATCATTATCAAGGCAAAAGAAATAAATACTTGGGTAAGTTTTAGGTAAGCATCTTCCATCATAATATCCATCTACAATTGCTTCTCTAACGCTCATTTAATGTAATAAAAGCTAACATATTTGTCAAGTTCTGGTAAGTATGTTCCCAATATAACATTCTTTTCTTCTTCTTCTTCTTCTCCTTCTCCCATAGAATGTCTATCACTTTGTCACCCTCGGTAGAGTGCCATGGTGTCACAGCTCACAGCAACCCCCAGCTCTTGGGCTTATGCGATTCTCTTGCCTCAGCCTCTCAAGTAGGTAGGACTACAGGTGCCAGCCACAACGCTCAGCTATTTTTTATTGCAGTTTAGCCATCGCCGGTTTTGAACCAGCCACCTTTGGTATATGGGGCCAGCACCCTACACACTGAGCCACAGGCGCTGCCCCCACTATAACATTTTCTATGTGTAGTTTTCATAGTCTATGATCTCTGAACATGAGAGTTGATTTCTGTTGATGTTTGCATAATCCTCTTAACTAAAACAATAAGCAATTCATATTACCATCCTTCTATTGGAATGCTAACCTCATGGAGGCAGCTATTATATATGTGTAATATATATGCAGTATATATAAGGCACTGGTGAAGAATGGAGGACTCAGCCTTACAATTTTCATCTTCCTTCTAACCTGTTTGACTCTACCCTCCCAACTCTTGACATGATCTCAGAAGTATCCCTTACCCGCTGATCCTCAGCTGCCCCTTCAATGGGACAGTGTCTGTGAGCCCCGTGCTCCTGGGCATTAGAGCAGAACAAACACAGCAGGCTCCTGTCCACTTCACAGAACATCTTCTTCTCCTTGTGGATTCTACACATTTGTTCCTCAGAGCTCAGGAATTGCCAGAGACTAGCTTTTCTGGCAATGAACACCAGATTCTTCAGAACAATATTGGTTTTGAACTTCCTCTGCTGGATGGTTCTCTGCACTCTGGGCAGTGGGCAGAAGTTAGGGCTCCTTCCCAGGAGAGATAGAGGCAGGGTCTGCAAAAACTGTGTCCACATCCTATGGTGACTGGGTCTATGAAGTAATTTAGGCAGATGGCACAGGTGATTTCCCTCTGGAAGACTTGCAGTATATCTAGGTCCATGTTCCTAAAAAAAGAAAATTGGAATTTATTCTTCTGTCCTAGAGAGGCAAAAGTCTAAGCAAACATTTATTCCCATATTGACCAAATACTCCTATCTAGAGCAGAATAGGCTTACCTTTGCATGACACAAGTGGAAAACTGAAGCACATATTTCTCAAGCTTTGTAGATAACTGGTTGGGTACCTAACTAACATGCATCTACTTTACCAAATAATTTTCTCCTCTAGAAATCTACCGAGTTTTGGCTGGGCACCATAGCTTAGTGGTTAGAGTGCTGACCACATGCACTGGGATAGGTGGTTCAAATACCTGGGCCTGGGAATGCTAAAAATAACAAAAAACATAAGTGAGCTTTGTGGAAGGCCTCTTTAATCCCAGCTATTTGGGAGGCTGAGGCAAGAGAATCGCTTGAGCCCAAGAGTTCGAGGTTGCTGGAAGTTATGATGCCACTGCACTCTATCGGTGATAAAATGAGACTCTGTCTGAATGAAAAAAAAAAAGAAAGACATTTACCAGTTTTCTGGGGTATTACTTTCCTGCAGGTTGCTCAAACTGCAGGAGCTTGACCTAATCTGTACTCCAAGAGTTTGGTCTGGAGGAGTCAGAAGATCAATCATAATGTTCATTGCTAGTCATGGATTTGTCAATGGAAGTAGGGGCTGAGATTTGATCTCATGATTTCATTTAATTGTTAAAATCCTCCTACCTTGACCATATCTCCAACATCACTCTAAAAGTGTTATCATTTCGGATCTAAATTAAACTCAGTTAACCAAGCACAAATTGCAAACAATTTAATGCAACCGACAATTATTTTCTGGTACATTTCCTCTTCCCAGAACTGTGTATCAATCAACTCAAAGATATGATGCTTACTACAACATCCTTGTGAGTAGACAATGAATTTTTCACAGAAACAAACAAATTTATAAAATGTAGTAATGTAGAGAGTGCCACTGGTCTATGTTTTCTGTGTCTCACTCATGATCTAGAAAATGCCTTTCCTGCAAACCTATTGATAAAAATGAATAAGAAAAATGTATACACATCACATTTATAAAAAAAAAATTCTTCTTTGATGTCTTTCATTGTCTTTAACAGATTCCCTTGCAAAATCAACTTTTGAGTACATGGGACTAAAATGAACTTTGTAGGTTTGTATTATGCATCAACCAGTCTATTTTTCTTTTTTTTCTTTTTCTTTTTCTTCTTTCTTTTTTATTTTTTTTATTAAATGATAGCTCTATACATTAATGCAAACAGGGGGTACAGTGTAGTGTTTTCATATACATTTTGAAATACTTTCATCAAGCTGGTTCACATAAATTTCATGTAATTTGCATAGTCATTGTGTCAAAACATTTACATTCT